TTAGCCCCACCTTTCAATCCTTCTGTTCCAACTAGAAAACATGAATGTTCAGACAGGCCTTTGATCCTGAGTAGGCTGAATGGGGCCATATGAAGCTGCCACTTGGTACCTGGTAAATTGACGGCAGCTAGATTTATCTACTGTTGTTTAAACATGTATTGGGTTGTGGTAGGTTTCTTCGGGCTATATGTCCATGTTCTAGAGGCATTCTCTCCTGACATTTTGCCTGCATCTATGGCAAGCATCCTCACTACCTCTGAGGATGCTTGCCATAGATGCAGGCGAAACGCCAGGAAAGAATGCCTCTAGAACATGGCCATATAGCCCAAAAAAACCTACAACAACCCAGTGATTCCGTCCATGAAAGCCTTCAACAATACATTAAAATTGTATTAATTTGTTTTTAAGCTACCTGTGTTGATGAGGGTTGTTGTTATGATTTTATGTGACTTGTTTTATACTTTTGTACTGTTTATACCGGTTGTATGTTATATATGCACTCTGGAGTGCGTTGTGAGCAACCCTGAGTCCCTTCGATGATGATGATGATGATGATGATGATGATGATGATGATGATGATGATGATTATATTACTTGTTTGAATAATTTCAGTGTGTGTTTCAAGTCACCTGTCGACTTGAAGCAACCACATAAATTTCATGTTTTCATAGGTAAGGAATATCCAGAAGAGATTTTCCATTACTTCCATCTGAAATACAGTCTGCTGTACCTGCTATTACTTGGTGGTCTCCCATCCAAGCATTAACTAGTGCCAACCTCCACTTAGCTTCCAATATCAGTAGGCTCTGATGTCTTTATAGTATTTAGGCCCTTAATTTCAGCTATACTGCCAACATGTTTTCTCAGTATATATTGGCAGTGTATACTATGTGAAGATAATGTGTATGTCTCTTCCGCAGTTCACAGTCAGTAATTTAAAAAGTATGTGAAAGACACAAAACACAGGGGTAAGAACACCTAGTTGGCAAACCAATTGCTAGAGTACTAGTGGAATTCATTAAGAAAGTTAAGTTTTAAAAATATATATATAGTAAAAGAAAAATGAGCTATAATTTAAGGTAAACAGACTTTTTATAATTGAATTTTCTTTGCACAGTTCCATTAAGAACATTTCTAATCCCATCTCTTTGTTTTCCAAACCTGGGACCCTTCCATACTACACAATTACAGAACTATGATTCCACTTTAAATGTCATCTTATGCATTCTCAGGATTTGCAGTTTAGGACAGTTGTTCAGAATTCTTGACCAGTGAGCTCTAGCGGCTCATCAAACTACAAACCGCAGGCCTCCACAGAATGAAGTCATGGAAGCTAAATAGGAATTATACTGCTACAACTGTGTCATTGGAAGAGCCATTTGGCCTAATCCAAACTCATAAGGTCTTTCAAACAAAACTGCACTTTTGGATCCTCCCAGATTTCTTCATTGCAGCTATCTAACTTAGACTGTGAAAGTATTTTTTTTTCTTAAACAAAATCAAAAGTCTTTGACAATAGAGAGAAAATCATCAAAAGAGCTACCGGTTCATTCTAGTCTGCTTTCTGTCCACCTTGACACCAAACAGCACACTGCAGAGAATATTGCCCACACACATACACATCAATAGACACATAATTTATGGCAGAAATGAACAAAATATTGAGTGTTTAATGTAGACTACAGTGCTAGAGCCACTGAAATCTAGGTCCCCCTGAACTTAGTAGGAATTGTTTCTGAATAGACATATATGAGATCAGATTTCAACTTCTCTTTTATTCATGTCCTGTACAATTACTGGTAGTTAAAGGAATCGATATTATGGATGCACATAGCTAGCCAGTCCATCGCTCATCAGATTCAAAGCTGCAGAATTATGCAAAAATGACAACTTTTCTCAGATGTCTACTTGTATAAGTAACATAATCTTAGCAGAAGGCCCTGGGGGATATTTCTAAGAGCAGAGCAATCTGGAAGCACTTCTCATCCAAATATCAGCCGCTATCTTCTTTGGGATCTCTTCTGGCATTACACATCTTGTGTAACTAGACTTTTGTGAGCAGTTATATATTAGTCCCTAGAATCAGTGCTAACACATTGCAGCACTGGTAAACAATGAGAACAAGTTGCTTTGGCAAAGATCCAACAAAGTGCTGCTCATTTTTTTTTTCACTCCACCAAGGATATTGCAAGCAACCTCTCTAAGCACATTATAGCTGTTATTGCCCTTCGCTTCCTGAGGTTGTGACCTAATGTTTCTCACACAATGAGGTTACATTGTCCTAACTGATTATTCAACACCCCTTTGCTTGTGCTCTAATGGATTTTGCCATGCCAACAGCTTTCTGCAGTTTCCAAGGGCTTGTCTACACAGGATGAATAGCCCACATTGACCGTGAAATCACTCCAGGTTGTCTTAATAACATCCAGGGATGTCTGATCCTTATTGCAAGGTAAACTGGTCTTATTCGGTTTAGCCCCTGCATTAGGGAAAGGAATGGGTCCGTTCTGTGCTACTGGACCTCATCAAATTGATAAGGTCCCATGTTCTGATTTCCCAGCGTCTGTGGTGAATTAACAGGGCAGTGGAACAATCTTGGTGCCCCTCCCGGCTGACAGCAACATGTCCCCATCACATGTCCTAGAATGCTACCCCAGTTGAGCAACGGAGCTCTGCTGGAAGTGAGGCTACATCATGTCATGGGCATGTGGGGTTCAGTTGCTTAACTGGGGCAGCAGCATCCTAGGACACTAAGAATTTTTCATATGATGAGGTCCACTGTCACTACTATCCTTGGGCACATTCCTCCCAAAGAAGGCCCGGCCATCTTGAATGCCCCATTCTGACATTAGAAGAGGTGACAGCACAACCAAGGAGAAGGAAAGGGGAATATGAAGGATAATACACTCAACTCCAATATTTGATATTGAATTAAAAAAAACCACGCACAGAAACTGTTGAATCTTATTTCAAGTCTAGCAATGAAACAATCATCCATCACTACCTCCCTTTATACTGCCTTCAGATGATCTTGTGGGTTGAGTTGGGTTTTAATAACTACTTGTATGTGCTTTTTAGCCTAGATTTTAAAATTTGTTGAAGTTTGAAGCATATAACCACTTGGGTTTGACATGGATGTGCAGGACTGGGTCCCCAGTTATGATCTGGTCATTGACCATAATAAAGTTTACTTACAGTCATCCATCAAGCATAGCACCCATAGTCCTGTCCTATGACACTCAGTGCTGCCCTCCCAAATATGTTGCCTGCGACTGCTGTCTCATGATTCCCAATGGAATCTTGGCAACTGTGGACAAGAAGAATAACTATAGGAAGCTAAGTTCATCTCCCTGTTAAAGTATTCTACTCCCATAGATATGGTAATTGTTTTGGACTGAAAGTATTGGCAAGCAACCACTAGCAGCCAAAGGCCTAAGAGTATGCTTTTACCTCTTGCTCCCAAGAAAAAGATAATGAAGACTAACATGTCCTCACTGATAGGCCAGAGAAGGAATTTCTGCTCCATTACTTGTTTTCCTCATCTTTGAAGATTAATTTATCTGTTTCTAGGACAAAGATGAGCACCAAACCCATCTCAATCATTCCTGCATTCCATGAACTATTGATCTTGAACAGGACTATCAACAATACGTCAACTAGGGTCAAATTTAATCACTCAACTATATAGCTTGCAAATGTTATTGTTTAAAGTAACACAAACTCCAACGGTTTGCTGAAACTAGAGTATGCCTATTATTTTATTGTCTCATTTTTGTTTCAGAATCATTACAGCTACAAATGTAATGTGGTAATCAGCAAGCTTTCTTTACAAAATAATGTAAAGGAGTCTCCTTCTTTGGAGGCTTTTAAGGAGAGGCTGGATGACCATCTGTTTGGGGTGCTTTGAATGTGATTTTCCTGCTTCTTGACAGAGGGTTGGATTGGATGACCCACAAGGTCTCTTCCAACTCAATAAGTCTATGAATTTATGATTATGAAGAAGATAATAAGTGTCAACTTTATGTCAAAGTCAAGTGTAATGGCTTTCATAGAATCATAGAGTTGGAAGAGGCCTTGTGGGCTATCCAGTCCAACCCCCTGCCAAGAAACAGGAAAATTGCATTCAAAGCACTCCCAACAGATGGCCATCCAACCTCTGCTTAAAAGCTTCTAAAGAAGGAGTCTCCACCACATTCTGGGGTAGAGAGTTCCACTGCTGAACAGCTCTCACAATTAGGAAGTTCTTCCTCATATTCTGATGGAATCTCCTTTCTTGCAGTTTGAAACCATTATTCCGCGCCCTAGTCTCCAGGGCAGCAGAAAACTCTCAGCAGAAAACTCTCCCTCTCTCCCTATGATTTCTCCTCTATACATGGCAATCATGTCTCCTCTCAGCCTTCTCTTCTGAAAGCCACTCTTCATAGGGCTTGTTCTCCAAACTCTTGGTCATTTTAATTGCCCTCCTCTGGACATTCCAGCTTGTCAACATATCCAATTGTGGTGCCCAGAATTGGACACAGTATACCAGATTGCTTAAGAAACAAGATTGGGATGACTTAACAAAATATCATGGAGGGTATCTGGCTGAAGGATTCTTAGAGTTACTTCTTTCAAGCTCTGAAGTAATATGAGAAAACAGGAGCTTTTATTTTTCACATCAGAAGTTAATGTGGGTAAGGAGTAGAAGTGTTTTTATGCTTTCCCATTCCAATAGTAAGGGAGAGGACAGTGATGGTGCCTTCACATCTCATAAAATCACCTTCATCAGGCAAGATGGCCTTTGCATAATCAAACCACGTGTGCTCTTTCCTTAAAAACTCTGCATTTCAAACCAGCACTGATGGCAGTGTAATTACTTTGACGTTTGATGTTTATCTTGCATCAATCACGCATTTTATAACTTGAGTTACAAATCTTATGAACAAGGTTGTTGGTTTATTAAAATGACAACTAAGGTAGTCAGTGGAAGATACTAAAAGTAAATAATTAATGTGATCTACCTTGCCAAGGAGTGATTCTGTTGACAGGGATGCCAGATCCACTGGAGTGTAGGTTGAGGAATACCATAAACAATGCATGTTAGAATTTGCTCACTTCCCAGTTTATAGAGATTAGGGCCAGATATTGATGAGACCTTTTCATAAATCTGAGGTTTCACTGTGAAACAAAGCAACAAAAATGCAACAAAAGGTCAAGCAATTTAAATTTGCTCTCAACATAAAAAATAAGATCCTTCTTTTTTATGGACACATTTGCAAAACAAAGCGATTCCAAGCTAGGAGTGACCATTCCTAGTGTATTCTATGCATGGTTTTTCAGAAGTAAGTCTCAGGAAAGTCAAGGAGATTTATGCCAGGAAAAAGTGTATGGGATTGCAGCCTGAACCAGTAGTTTGATGTTCCTGAAAAGAGCCTTGATAGGGCCTAGAAGTCTTTTCAATGTCTTATTCAGCTGAACCAGCAATGTCAACTACACAGATAACTCACCATTTATTCTTAGTGTGACTGTTAGGTTTTTATGCAAATTCCATGGCGACGTGTTCAGCAATATAGTGTAGTTTCCTGCATCTTCTTCAGAAACATGTTTTATGGTGAGTGAATAGCCTTTAATTTTATACCGAGCACACATTTCAGCAGCAGGAAGCCCATCTTTCAACCTATTAAAAGACAACCAGATTTGTAATTGTTTACAGTGTCACTACTGATCTTACTTTTCTACTTTGGTAATCTAAAGTATTAACCAAAGACATTCTATATCTGGTGAGCAAATTGTGTCCTGGTGCTATAACATACTGGGTGTCCCCCAGAATGTATGCTCCCTTAACAATTTATAAGGGAGCATACATTTTTTCACACTCACACACACCAAAAGTGCAGCCATAAAGATTACAATAGTGACGTCTGTCACAAAAGAGAAAATTAAATGAGGGCTGCAATGATGTGTTTTGCCAATGCAAGCAGTCCACCGTTGTGCAGGGACAGCAATTTAAACACCTTACATAAAATTGTAATTTAAAATGAAATTTGTAACTCTGATTAAATCATTATTATAACATTCATTCTTCAATATAAATGCATTTATTTAGCCTTCATAGCTACCATTAGCATAAATTTTGGGGGAAACGACCTGTATATAATAAACCAACTAACATTCACTGGATGTTGACTGTGTCAAGGGATCTATCACACTAGGATTTAACTATATGCTATGGGGAATCTGTATTTGGGAATCATTATCCCCAGCAGTAATAAAGAAATGTGATGTGTCCACTGTTGCATTCTGTGTCTCAGTGACAACAACTAGCATGACTTCCATGTCAATGCAGTAGTTATTCCAATCCAAGTTTTAATCCATATTTTAAAGGAATTATCAAAGGTGCTAAATTTGTATTGGTGACAGTTTTCAGGACCGAGGATAGCTTCGTTAATGTTAAGACTAAACTCAGAGCATGTCTCACTAACATGAAAATTTCCAACTGCTAATGGCACCTAATGAATTTGTCCTAGACAGGCCTGCAGTGACTTCAGTAGAAACATAAAGTTGGAAGACACCTCAAGGGCCATCCAGTCAAATCCCCTGCCATGCAGAAATACACAACCAAAAAGGAATACACAATCACAATCCAAATTACAGAGGACAGGCGTATTTGAAAATCTGTGTCCAGTTCAAGTCTAACTCAAAGGTAGAAAACCACAAAAGGGGAGCAACTCTTGAAATGTCCACCAACAATTGATGCCTTGAGGCAGACTAAGTACTTATGACACACAGCCTTTTCCTTGGCTATGATTTGTGCAAGATTTCTATTTATATCATATATGAAAACATATGGTTTAAATTACAATATGTTTTAAAATTTGCTTGTGCTTGTTAGCACATATAATTTTCCTGTGAATATACGCCCCCTTTTTAAAGGAAATGCAATCAATAGTAATTGTAGCAGTAGGAAGGAAGGGGTATATATGGTGGTGGGGAAGGATGTTGGTCGATTGAAGATACATGTCCCCCAAAATATGTGTCATTTAATGCTTTAAGACAAAGCTATGCAGTAAAATTATGGGAAGTATAGTGATGCACATAGAGAGACTTGAGGAAATCTGACTAATCTGTTACAGTAGCCAGTCTTTTATTAAAGGTATACCCATTTCTATAACCTTTCTTTTTGTATGCTGTGCTTACCTAAACTGTAATCAAGAACATATGAGAAGATGACTAACCCATTGCATGAAAATAAGTATATGTTAATTTTAGAGTGTGTACATGTAGAATCATAGAATAACAGAGTTGGAAGAGACCACATGGGCCATTTAGTCCAACCCCTGCCATGCAGAAAAACCACAATCAAAGTTCCCGCAATGTACTGAGAAGCTGGGTGCAATCACTTATCTCTGCACTACATATTATTTTAGTGACAAATGAAAACATAAATCCACTCTATGCTTTAATACGTTTTTGTTGGTTGTGCAGAGGTTGGTTTTCCCTTCTTCCTTCCACAACTTTCAAAGAATTCTCTGCCACCTGAAATCACTGTTTTTCTGCATTAGGTGTAACCCCTGACCCTGGTATTTTTGTTGTGGGAAAGGGCCCAGCTAGATGCAGATCAATGACATCATCTCATGAAACCTCTGGAGGACTACAGTAGATTTTGGTCTGCATCTAGGAATGGGAACTCAGCCATAAGATTTTCTGATCTCCCTCTCTACTTTTCATCAGCTATTGAATGGGAATGGAGAAAGGGGCATGCATTACTACAAAGCAATGAATCCTGTGGATAGTGATGGAGAGCATACCGAACCCTCAAGACAAACTTGACAATGAAGGGTCTCAGCCACTTTAAATGATAAAACATGTAACGTAAAATGCTATATAACTGCTAATCTATACTATGTGAACAGATGCTAAAAAGACCAAAATTAAAATCCAAGTAATAATTGAGTAAAAAATAAACTGCTCTATATGTAGTGAATAGCCCATGATTTCAAACAGTACACCACCAATATCTTTTGGAATAATACACGCAGTTTCATTATCTCCATCTGACAAAATGTGACTTTTCTGGGTATTTCCTAGGTTCTCCAGTGCAACAATATGATATGCTTAAAATTGGAAGTTAGCCATAGACTCACACTAGAGGACCTAGTGCTTTCTAGGCAGTTGTTTGTTCAATAGAGTTCACTATTATCCATGTTTTCACCAACCATGGTAAATCCAGGAATGTATCCACTACGAATATGGAGGTTGTATTATATTGGTTATTTATTTATTTATTTATTTATTCTATTTATATTCTGCCTTTCTCTACCCCAAAGGAGACTCAAGGTGGCTTTACTTAAGGTGGCTTTTTTCTTTCTATGTTATCTATTACTTATATTAATATTTTATTCTAATCATATTTATGTAATGGATTGTCTTTCCATGTAAAGTGTTACGTGCTTTGGCCTGTTTATTGGAGGGAGTTTTCTGTGTAAATTATGCCATAGCCAGTCACAATTTTTGGTAAGAAAACATGGCTTGTATCAGTTTGAGAGCTAGTAGCATAATGAAGTGGTCTAAGTCTTGGACTCCATGGACTAGGGCTCAGCCACAGAAATCCATTGGGTGACCTTAGGTCAGTCACACACCCTAAGCCTCAGAGGAAGACAAAAAAAATGCCCTCTGAACTAAACTGTGATAGATTTGCCTTAGGGTTGCCATAAGTCAGACATGACTTGAAGGCTCACGGCAACAATGTTGGCTTACTTTCCCCTGTCCTTACACACACACATACACCACTCTCTGCAGAGTGGTGTGTGTGTGTGTGTAAGTATAGCAGAGAGTTTGAAATCAAAAGTCAGGAGCATGAATTACATCTGACACAAATACTGTGAAAGTAGCACCGCAGGGGCGCTGCAGCAAATTGTTCTCCTACTCAGTCTTACTGCACAGTTGTTGTTGGGAACAGCTCAGCATTCAACAGAATTTATCCATATTCCCTGCCATTTGCAATTATGTAAACAAAAACAAGGAGTAAAACAAGATCAAAACTGATAACATTGTCCCATAAGAAAGTAATACTAAAGACTCCTTTGCAAGGCTTCTTGATGCAGTGTACTGGAGCCAAGCAAATCTTGGCTACTAGAAGTTGTATCAAACAAGTTCTAGAAAGAAACAATGGGTCACCCAAAAGATAAACATGTCGTCTCCTAGGGTCAAACTAGACGTGACATTACACATGTCTTGATCTGAAACAGTAACAAGTACCAATTGGGAGGGGGGGCTCATATCCTGATTGGGAACGTGGCAAAGAGCAGCAGCGTAGCTCTTTCCCTCTGAGATTTATTTCCACCAGCAAATGGCATCTGTATTTGTTGTCAAAAATTACATATTGGAGAATGGTTCTACCCTGTCAGGGGTCATCCCTTAGAGAGGAACACATATCCCTTGAATGTTTCCAGCTTCCGTTGTGAAAAAACAGACTTGCATTTAAACTTGCAATGGCAGATGATGAAATTTGAACATTTGGGCATCTTTCTACTTTATATTATAAATTTCTGCACCGTACTCCACTTAAGGGATCCCCTGGTGATGCAGTGGGTTAAAGCACTAAAACTGCTGAACTTGCTGACCAAAAGGTCACAGGGAGCTCCCACTGTTAGCCCCAGCTTCTGCCAACCTAGCAGTTTGAAAACATGCAAATGTGAGTAGATCAATAGGTACCACTCTGGCAGAAAGGTAACGGCACTCCATGCAGTCATGCTGACCACATGACCTTGGAGTGTATCCGGACAACGCTGGCTCTTCAGCTTAGAAATGGAGATGAGCACCAACCCCCAGAGTTGGGTACAACTGGACTTAATGTCAGGGGAAAACCTTTACCTACTCCAATTAAAGACGAAAGCCTTACAAATTTTCTACAGTTTTCATTAACAGAATTTGGGATAATAAGGCTAGCAAGTGACTATAATGACTATCAACTATTTCCAGGATCAGAGGCAGCATATGTTTGGGGAACGATATCCAAAGAAGCGTAGTTTTCACAATGGTTGGCTACTGCAACAAGCAGGATACTGAAGCAGAAAGGGCTTTGGATTGATGCTACAGGGTTATTCTTATACTTTCCTCATGAAATTCACAATGTCTATTATGGACTCTCCAATTTAGCCAAATAACTGCCCACTTTAGTCTCATAAATGGGCTGCCCTGAATTCTAAACATTCTTCTGGGGTCTAAAATCCCTGTATTAATGCACAGACTTCCCTTAGGAAAAGACTCAGGCACTGTTTCAACAGCCTTTTGGCAATGTCTGCTTTCTCCTTGGAAATATTCCAGCAGCATTGCACTTTAAGCCTCCAAAGTAGGATTTTAAAAGTAGGAATGAGATATCTACATGTAACATGGGAGTGAGAGCTTGAAAGATTCATGGTGTGTCTCTAGACCAGAATCTTAAGCATATATCATTGTGCCATAGAATATATTGACCATGTAAAACAAAATTGCACTGAAATAAGCACAGCTGTATCCTACAAGTGTGAAGCATATTAGATAAGTTGGTTCCAAATTAATTTCAGCATATTCAATAACATATATAAGTGGCTTCTTTCTGTATACAGAAGTAACTGTAATCCTACCATATAACCTCTGGTGTAGGAAATGCTTTCACTTTGATAGAAAGTCGATAGGACTTCTTGCCAGATAGAACTTCCAGCACATTTTTTCTTCGAGGTTTCACAGTGATGAATGCTTTATCTTAAAAAATGAAGAAAGGAATTATATATTTGAGAAAGTGGTTCTGGACAAGGAAATCTATAAAAAATATTCATTGGACATGGGACACCTGACATTGTGGAACACCTGACACAACTCCCCATCATTCCCAGTCAACGGACAAATATTTATCATTCAGCCTATGGTAGAATGTAATCACTTACACATGACTGTCCTGAATGAATATGTTATCTATCAAAAAATAATTGCTAGTAGTGGCATATTTTAAAAGAAAGAGAGCCAACTTGGCTTCATTATTGTTTTCTTCTTTTACCCCCTGGTGGTTCAGCGGGTTAAACTGCTGACCTGCTGAAGTTGCTGACCAAATGGTTGGCAGTTCAAATCCAGGGAGTGGAGTGAGCTCCCACTGTTAGCCCCAGCTTCTGCCAACCTAGCAGTTCAAAAACATGCAAATGTGACTAGAGCAAATGTGGGGTAGCAGTGCTCCATTCAGTCTTGCTGGCAACATGATATTGGAGGTGTCTACAGACAACATGGGCTCTTCGGTTTAGAAATGGAGATGAGCACCACACCCCAGAGTCGGACACGACTAGACTTAATATCAGGGGAAACTTTACCTTTACTTTAAAAACTATGGCTTTGGGGGAAAGCTTCAGTGAGTAAGGAAATGATATGCCTGCTATTTCTTACCGTTGGGGCAAAAAAAATCATGCATTTAACCTATTGATGCAGAATTTGAACCATTTCTATTTCATGTTGATTTTATTGGTTTTCCTTTTCAATTTGTTCCACCTCCCACTTAATTTTTTAAAACACACACACACACACCTGATCTTGCAAACTAAAAATTCTTTTTGAGTGTTGTGTGGCTTTCAAGCTCTATGGCCATGTTCCAATAGCATTTTTCTGCAGAAGATGCCAGCCACAGATGCAGGTGAAACATTGGGAGAAAATGCTGCTAGAACACAGCCATACAGCCCAGAAACCACACAACACCCTAGTGATTCTGGCTGTGAAAGCCTTCGATGCTGCATTTAATACATGTTAGGAGCCCCTGGTGGTGCAATGGGTTACACTCTTGTGCCAGTAGGACTGCTGACCAAAAGGTTAGCAGTTCGAATCCAGGGAGAGCATGGATGAGCTCCTTTGTCAGCTCTGGATACCCATGCGGGGACATGAGAGGTAAAGAAATACTGCTCTAATGGGATACAAGAATCAGATATTTTGTGCATATAAACATTTCTTACCATAAATATGAACAGTTGTATTCACTGATTTCAGAGATGGGCCGCTTTTTACATTGCAAGTGTATTGTCCTTTATCAATATCACGGACTTTATCAATAACCAGAATACTATAGAACAAGTTGGGTTCATCACTCCTTTGTACAATACTTTTGGCAATCGTGCCTCTTTTGCTTGCCTAAAGAAGAGAAAGAAATGTACCCCAATGAAAAGCAATTTGCATTGGAATGTGAATGCATGTATATATTTATGTTCTGACACCATCTTGTTCAGTATTAAACAACCCATTTGCAACAAGTGATATTCAAAAGAAAGATGGAACTGCCTCACTTTTAGGACTTCTAGGTTGGGAATACCCTGGATCCCCAAGATTTCAAGGCCACAAATGGAAACGTAAGGGATATGGCTAGTGACGTCATAGTGTAGACTCCTGCAATGTCAATATGCATGGTAAGAGAGGTGGGAATCTGGTACACATTACCAGAGACCAGCTGCCCGAAAAAGCCCAACTATGTCACTTGTACTTTAGTTTTTGAGGCATAGCAGCTACAAATCCCATATTTTTTTTGATCCAGTGTGAGGAGAGTAGACATTAGCTGTAGTGACAACAGACTGATGCTGAAGCGGTTTGGTATGCAGAAAAATGACCTCAAATTATAAACCAAAACCCATCTCTCTGCTGCTTGCTTGTCCTCTACCTCTCAGCTTGGTATGCATAGGATAGATAGACAGATAGACAGATAGACAGATAGATAGATAGATAGACAGACAGACAGACAGACAGACAGACAGACAGACAGACAGACAGACAGACAGACAGATAGATAGATAGATGGTTGGGATTTAATGGTGCAGGACCTCCACAACATAAATAATACATTAAGTGCAATTCAATAAAACACATAAAATGGAATAAACAATAACACATCAAATAGATATAAAACACAAACTGCATTGCTATACAATGTATGAACTTTTAAAATTACAGATTATATAGTATAAATAAAAATTACGTGACAAAGTGAAGTGTCCGAACGTATCTCCCTCCAGAGATTAAGATCACCCAGGGAGGCCCTGCTTTCATTCCTGCGTTCTTTGCAAGTGTGACTGGTGGGAACAAGGGGCAGGGTCTTCTCAGTGGTGGTCCCTCAGCTATGGAACTCCCTCCCCAGTTACATTAGATCAGCCCACTTGCTCCCAGCCTTCAGAAGGAAAGCAAAAACTTGGCTTTGGGATCACGGTTTGGGAGAATAGTGCAATGCAATAACAGATTTGAAATATGTGAAATGACTATGGAACGTCTTTAGACTATGATTATGAATGGAGTGATTTATATTGAATGTAACATTTTAAAATGTTTTAAGTGATTAATATATATTAATTTTAATTTAATTTTAATGTCATTGGAATTGTATATATTTTAAGACCTATATGTAAGCTGCCTTGAGTCCCCTTCGGGGTAAAAAAGGTGGGATATAAATAGGGTAAATCAATAAATAATAAATAAATGTATTCTAAAACTCTACCATTGTTAGACATTTCTAACATTTTATAATTATCCTAAAGATACCAGATCCCTCTTGATCTTAGAGACTATGGAGGGTAAGCAGTGATTATTACTTGGGTGGGAGACTGTCAATAAATGCAAGGTGTTGTGGGCTATAATTCAAAGGAAGAAAGTGGCAAAACCACTTCTGAATATTCCTTGCCTAGTATTCATGTGGTCACCATAAGCTGACATGAGCCTTAAAGGCACATACACACAAAACACATTATTCAGGATGAGAAAAGAAAATATCAGAATGTTACATTTGTGTTTTCTCATTATACTTGTGTTCATTTGTTTTTTTAATTCATGCATGTTGATATACATGATGTTTTACAGAGAATGAGATGATACATTTCATCTCCCAAAGGCCTTTAATCTAGAAACAGACAATAGAGGAAAGGGAAGGAAATGGAAATTGGAGTAACCACATAAAAGACGAAGCTGGGAAATTTATTTTTAGACTATAGTGGCCATGCTGATTGGGAAATTCCACAAGTCATGATCTAAAATCATAAATTGCTCTCTTGAGGAATGTGAGATTCTTGCAGTTAAATGTGCCTAGCATATGCGGACCTGGGAAATGTAGGCATATCAGTAGATGACATATAGTGAGTAGCTATAATGCAGTTAAATGTGTCTAGTGTACGTGGACCTGGGGAAAAATAATCAAATCAGTATATGATGTATAGTGAGTGGCCATAATGCAGTTAAATGTGCCTAGCATATGCAGATCTGGGAAAAAGTAAGTGTATCAGTATATTACGTATAGTCAGTGGCTATAATGCAGTTAAATATGTCTAGCGTATGTGGGCCTGGGAAAAAATAACCATATCAATATATGAGGTACAGCAAGTGACTATAATGCAGTTAAATGTGCCTAGCGTATGAGGACCTGGGAAAAAGTAAGCGTATCAATATATGACGTATAACGAGTTGCTATAATGCAGTTAAATGTGCCTAGCGTATGCGGACCTGGGAAAAAGTAAGCACATCAGTATATGACGTATTGTGAGTGACTATAATATAATTAAATGTGCCTAGTGTATGTGGACCTAGGAAAAAGTAAGCATGTCAGTATATGACGTATAGTGAGTGGCTATAACATATGCAATCACTAATAATAAAATTTAGCAAACTTTTTAAAAGATTGGATTTTTCATGAAGGTTTGTAAATCAGTCTTTCTGAAGATACTCCAGGCTTCACAGGAAAAGAGATTTTTAAGCTCCTGCTTGCAACTAGTAAAAGGTAAGTATTGTAAATTTAAAGGAACAGATGAATGTCTCCTGCAAAGCCTGGCTGCTACTTCAGGGGAAACTGTGTAATTACAAAAATAAATAATTAAGTCTGAGTTTGCAGTGGGTAATAAAAACCAGCTCCTGATCAAATCTATGAAGTATTTTTTTAAACTTATCAGTATGGAATCTGCACACAGCTGCATTGTGTGAAAATGTGCTCATTCAATGAAGCAACACTTGGGGGGGGGGGATCATTCAAGAGATAAGAATCACTGTAATAGGATGCAAAATTTATTTATTTATTTACAATATTTCTATCTCGCCTTTCTCATCCTGAAGGCAACTCAAGGTGTCTTACAAGTTGACAGCAATTCGATGCCATAACAATCCACATTATGCAATTAAAACATTTAAAACAACATTATAAAATCCATATAAAAACTATTAAACCACATAATAACCAATGTCAATGGATCTCATCTGCTCTAAATTATTCTTAGAAGTAGAATCAATGTAGTTTAATACCAATTTAATTCCTGTGGTTCAATGCTATGGGATCTTGGGACACTAACACTCTTTGGCAGAGAAGCCTTGTAGCTAACTACAACTCCCCTGAATCCATAACATTGAACCATGGCAGTTAAAGTGATGTCAAACTGCATTAACTCTACAGTGTTGATGCACCCTAAACTACTAGTTTTCTAGACAGGAGAACACCACTCACCTCACCAGGATATTTCCATGTGATCTGAACTCTTGTGTTCCAGGCTGCAGTGATCGTGCAGTTAAGGACAAGGTTGTGCCCTTTTAATAACTTGACTGGCCTTGAGGCATTCAAATGGACACTGAGGATTTCATTGGCTGTACATACACCAGGAGAGAAAAACGAATCAGATGAACAATCGCTTTGAATAGCTGAAGCAAATGAGTGGGATAAAGAAACGATACTTACCCTGCCTGAATGTGAGATAATTAGTGCTATAGTCATGTCCATCAACATTTGTTTCGCAGGCGAGAAGGCCTATGAACTTGTATGTTGCATTTGGTATTACAAATCCCTTGGTGCTGTCCCAGATTATTGTCTTCCCATCAGGCATGATGCTTTCCCCTTGATTCTGAAAATGAAAACTACAGATTAATTCTATCCCTTGTCATGTGCCTTTTCTGATTAGGTGCTTCCTCCTCTGCCTTTGTATATTAATACTTATAAGGGAATTTTAGCAAAGTTATTCAGATGGTAATCAATATGCGGTATTGAGCACATGCACTTCTTATTGTTGGAAAGTGCAACTTTCCAAGTCCGCACTAACTGCTTGCAAATGTGTATAATTGCTAATCTATATTGTATGTACATTTTGATTTGCCAGTTTGACTGTATCTCTTTGGTGTGGGAGGGGCTTCAGACACGGGACTCCATGTGTATTCAGTTTGCATCAGACCTCAATGGAGGTAGATTGCAGTTTGTCTCTTTTCAGACTTCAGTGAGTACAGTTATACAGTTTGGATTATATCTATATGCTAAAAGACATTGGACTGTGGACTAGTATTCTGAATATATACAGGAAGTTTGTTAGTAAACCTGAAATGTTATTTTTAAAGAAAACTACTGGTACTTTGTTTTTGTCTCTTGAGTGCATATTTTAACTAAGAGGTTTCAAGGAAGTGTATATCTTTTGGGCAATTCAACTTCAAAGAAACAACCATCCTCTGCTAACCAAATATATTTTTGCAGTGGCATGTCTTTATCCTTGGCAATTTAAAGACATGGTTCTTCAATTTAACAGCTGAGTTACCTGTGTGCCATTACATGAGTGCTTATGAGTATCACTTGTTCAAAGAGTTGACTTCTAACAAGGTCATGCTTTTCTTGACTAGTGGTTTTCAAAAGGCAGTCTCCACATGTTCATGAAGATTCACATTTGCCAAATGGATGTGACATCATTTTAACCTTTTATTTCCAATAGGTTATGGAATTTCCAGTACTTATTACATTTTTATCCAGCCTTGTCATGGGAGCACAGATGAGCTCCCACTGTCAGCTCCAGCTCCCCATGCGGGGACATGAGACAAGCCTCCCACAAGGATAGTAAAACATCCGGGCGTCCCCTGAGCAACATCCTTGCAGATGGCCAATTCTCTCACACCAGAAGCAACTTGCAATTTCTCAAGTCGCTCCTTACACAAAAAAACTTTTAAAAAGCTGTCGATGTCACTAATAAACATCACCAAGAGTAAGTGGAATAATAAAAATACTGATATCATTAGCATCAAAACAATTTAGAAATACTGTGTGTGTATACACACACACAGTATTTCTAAATTGTTTTGATGCTAATGATATCAATATTTTTATTATTCCACTTATACACACGCACACAAACAGTAATGACATTCTGTTTTTATCAAGTACTCAGTTTCTGGCAGCTTCATTGTGTTGTAACATTAGAAAAGTTTAGTTTAAAAATTGACTATTTCAGGTTTTTCCACACTGTCCTTATTCAGAATGACACAGCTGGAATTTCTGCACTCAGTTCCCATATCACTGGCTTCCTGTTGACCAATCTGGTTTAATCAGTAGGTTTAGTACTGAAGGGTGGTTCTTTCATCAGCAGACACATCATATCACGCAACAGTGTTTTTACTTTTTTACTTTTAAGGATGTTGGGGAAGTCTAATGTTGATAGCAGGTCATTCCAGACAAAAGATAACTCTTCTTTTATGAGGAGCTTGTGATATAAATGCAGTTTCTTATGATAATGAAAGCTAACTTTCCAAGAAAGAAATGCATTTTATCCATGAATATAGTGATACATACGCCAGACATGAAATCATAGTACCAATCCAAAGCCACTAATAAGCAAGTGCAGGTTAGGGTGCCCTGACATTCCAAACTCCAGAACTCTCTTCAGTGACTCCTTACTACTCACAATGATATTAAATGTTATGTGTAAAGGAGAAATATATTACTATTTAGTATGCTTCAGTCCAAACAGCCTGAGGCCTGGGGATTTCAAGTTCAGTATTATCTCATGGTCCCTTTCACTGGAAATTTGATAAACTAAACACAGATTCTTAGCATTCACAGTGAAAGGAGGAATCTTTTATATAGTCTGAGAATGCCTTACCCAAAAAGCTTGAGACTAGAAGTGTTCTGTATTTTGGTTCTGGAATACTTGTATTTCCATAATGAGATACCCTACAGATGGGACCCAAGTCTAAACACAAAATTCATTTATGGGTCATATATACCTGATATATATAGTTGAAGACTCTGTTTCATGCACACATGTATACAGGCTTTTAATAATTTATTATTTATGAAACAAAATATACATTGACCCATTAGAAAGCAAAGGTTTCACTGCTTCATCTACCCACATGGACAATCCTCTCTTTTTATGGGGAATGTGCAATCCCAGCCTGTACTACATTCTGTTGGCTATATAGTTATTAACCTTCCAGTGAGTTATTCCAAATATAAATAGTATTTTGATTATCTATAAATGCAGCTTTCAATAGCATCTGAGAAGAGTCACATTTAGGACATAAATACCTTAAATGCACCAAACAGTGTCTGAGTATTTGTTCCCCAAGGAATCCCTATGAAATTCGTGGGGTTGTCATTAATCAACAGGCAACTTGAAGCACACACAGTCATATTTTGAGAGCCAATGTACTGTAGAGGTTGGCTGTCAGACTAGGATTCTGACAGTGTGGAGGGCCCCCCACACTGCCATATAACCCAGAATCTCAAGGCAGGAAATCCCACAATATCTGCTTTGTACTGGAATATATGGTACTGTGAACTCAGATAACCCAGTTCAAAGTAGATATTGTGAAAGCCCTTCCACACAGCCCTATACCCCAGAATATCAAGACAGAAAATCCCACAATATCTGCTTTGAACTGGGTTATCTGAGTCCACGCTGCCATATATTCCAGTTCAAACACATAATGTGGGATTTCCTGCCTTGATATTCTGGGTTATATGGATGTGTGGAAGGGCCCTGAGAGACCAGATTTTGAAGCACCATTCAGTCATAAGAACCAATTGAGTAACTTTCCATAAGTCACACCCTTCCAGGAATGACAAACCTCTTCTGAATAAATCTCACTAAGGGTCCTTCCAGACAGACCCTATATCCCAGGATCTGATTTCAGGTTTTCTGATTTAAACTGGATTATATGGGTCCACACTGCCAGGTAATCTGGGATAAACAGAAAACCTGAGATCAGATCCTGGGATATAGGGCCTGTTTGTAAGGGCCCTAAAAAAAACACCCTAAACTAAGATTGCATTTGTCAGGCTTGACATAGTCCCAAAGTCATTTCAACAACTTGGACAGCTCCGCTACAGAATTTGATGCACGGAATCTCCATCATCACCATCAAAGTCTCAGATGCCACTTTAAATAAAAAAGTCTAGGCAATTTTTCGATTCCACACTCAAAATGGCATAAAGTTTTAGTAAAACACAATGGTTTTGCTCAGCCAAGCTACACTCACTAGAATCCCCAAAAATCAAATTAAATCAAAATCAGAAGCATTGTCACCTCTTCTTTCAGTTTAAACAAGTTATCCATCAATTGGGGTGGGGGTGAAAATCCAGAAGGTTTAAACACATGTGAGCCTGAAGGAGCAAAGCACTGTGCTCTACAGCAATTTTGAGCCATTCGGGGGGGGGGGGGGAGAGAGACTCAGCCCTTTTTTGTAGTAGGTCTGGAGACATTGGTGTGCCCGTGTGATATCTCCACTAAGGGGATTTCAGGATTTTCGAAAACCACTTCCACCTCCTCTGAAGTTCCCCACCCTGTCCTAGAGACCTAGAAATTAGGGCTGGGCGGTTTCGTTCGTTAATTTCGTAATTCGTTAATAATTCGTTATTTTTCTTGAATACGAAGCGATAACAAACCATCCAGGAGCAACTAAAAAACGAAACGAATTTTTAAAGCTATTTTGTAATTGTTTTGTAATTGTTTCGTTATTATTTCAGCTCCTGGCTGCAAAGGGGCCCGAGCAGGGGCAAGGAGAAGGGAAGGCAGGCGAGAGAGAGAGACTGAGCGAGCAAGCTCCCTTCCCGGCCTGGCTTCCTCCCCTCGCTCCCCTGGCTCCCCCCGCCCCCTTCTTCCCCCTTTTCCCGGCTCACCTGGGCATGCACACCCCACACATGCCCGGCCCGGCGCAGGGGTGGTCCGGCGTGCCCGCTCGGCGGGGCCCTGGCATCCGCCGCCCTGGGAAAGACCCCCGCCCAGCAGCAGCAGCAAGGCCGACGACGCTGCGGTTGCTGACTCCCCCGATCGCCTCCCCCGCCGGGAAAAGGAAACGCAGGAGGAGGCGCAGCAACGAGACGGAGGCGACCGCCCGGTTGGTAGGGAGGGAGAGGGAGGGAGGGATAGAGAGGGGGCGGACTAAAACTATTATTAAAAACTATTATTATTAAAACTATTATTTAAAAAACTAATATTTTCATGTTGCGCAACCGCGTCCGCCATTTTAACGAATTGATTCGTTAATAATAACGAAATTTCGTAAATACCGAACTTTTAAAAAGGAAAATTTTGTAATTATTTTAAATATCGAAACAAAAAAAAACCCCAAATACAAATCGATTTTAGAAACAAATTTTTGCGTTGTTACCCAGGCCTACTAGAAATCTGTGCAGAACAGACAGATCACTTTGTTATCTATGCAAAGTGAAGAGGCAGTTTCACTTTGCATAGATAACAGTGTTCCTGCACCATCACACATTCAGAATTGCAAAAGGAAGGCACTTCCCTTCATTCCATCTGACTTCCTCACACAGAAAAGATGCTTTCCTAGAATAAGCAAGATCACAGCTTAGCACCACTGGGACGCAGGAGAATGTACTTCCTTATCTTTACAGCATCTGCTAAGAAGCCATAATAACCATTGAAATAATGGGAGGAGTGTGCCCTACATATACAAAGGCAGTCTGTTATGATATAGCCTGCTGGCTGACATTCCAAAGTGTCTTGAATTCTAGAGATTCTATTGTGGTTCCTGCTGCCAGATATAAACATTTGCCTTTTGTTCTCTGAACTGATTCATCATTCCATATACATACAGACCCTGACAATAAGCAGCACGCATAAATTTCCAGTTGGGCAGATTCTGTCTGCTATAAAATTTCTGCCAAAGTCATGAATGTCTACAGGAAGTAATGGGATGGAAGGGATGCATTCACTTGATATAGTGCAGTTGCTTATGCTGGTGTCTTGGCTCTGATGGTACCTCCGGCAGCTATCTACTCTCATATCAATAGAGCAGGGAATCTGTTCCAGATTTTGGTCAGACTTCAAAGAGGTTAAGCAAGGGGTTTAACCAAATCCCTAAAATAAATTCAGCACTATGATGAGCTCCATTCAAATTCAGACTAAAGAATATTCACAGCCCCTCTGATCTCAAAGGAGATGAAATAGATGAAAGCATCACTTCAAATTATTGTATACCACTTTCTATTCTTTTCTGCAGTGAACATTACACTTGAATCTCATCAAAACCAGTGAAGAAGCACTTAAGCACAATTTATTTTTCTGATTTGTCATGTATAGTTACTTACGAGATAAACTACGGATCAATATATGTTTATAGGATATTTAGCCAATTTACAAAGTTATGAAATGTTCAAGGGTACCTATTCTTAATTTTAAAAATGAGTAAAAAACAAAATTGTAATCAGCAAATGAGTTATCTCCTTTCAAACAGCACCACACAGCAACTAAATGTTGGTTCCTAAGATGTTAAGCTGCTAAAGAAATGCTGTTTATGGCTGGGATTTTTATATGTATGTATGTATATGTATGTGTATATATATATATATATATATATACACACACACATATATACACACACACACACACACACACACATACATACATACATACACACACATATATATTGGAGCTGAAACATAGCATTTTTCTCCACCTTCTGTGACAGAAGGTGAATAGTGCTGATCTTTCTTGGTAAACCGAGAAGAAATGTCTTCAGAGGGGAATTATATAACACAGTGGTTCTTCCTAATGCCATGACCCTTTAATACAGTTCCTCATGTTATGGTAACCCCCAACCATAAAATTATTATTGTTGCTACTTCATAACTGTAATTTTGCTACTGTTATGAATTGCAATATAAAGATCTGATATACAGGACCAAATTTGGCAGAAATCTCTCGGGAAGACAAGCAGACAAATGTCAGCGTGCTAGAAGAAGCAAAGATCACCAGTATTGAAGTGATGCTCCTATGCCATCAACTCTGCTGGACTGGCCACATTGTCTGAATGCACTTGGAGGACCATCATCCTCGGGCATGAGGGATCACCTAAGTAAGTTTTCATCACTGGACCAAATTTGGCAGAAATGCCCAATATGCCCAAATTTGAAAACTGTTGGGGTTGTGGGGGATTGGTTTTGTCATTTGGGAGTTGTAGTTGCTGAGATTTATAGTTAACCTACAATCTAAGGGCGCTTTCCCCCCTGTCTTGAAGGGATGCAAGCCTCCCTCCAGCCTTGCACACTTTCCCTCACCGGCACATGTGCACGACACTGCCATGTGCTGAGCATGCCTGCTCTCCCCTCCCCGCTTGGAGTCTCAGAAACAGCCCTCTCCTTGACTGAGAGGCCAGCTGAGAGGCCAGCCAATCACAGCAGGAGGAAGACTTTTGGTGGAAGGATTCGCCATCTGTTTCCAAAATGGAAGAGAAGGACAATTGGAGAGATCTTCAGCCTTCACTGCCAAAAGGTTTCCTAAGACCATCAGAAATATATGTTTTTTATGGTCTTTGGTGACCCCTCTGAAACCCCCTCATGACACACCCCCCCCCCAGGGGTCCCAACCTCCATTTAATATCTGATATAGCAGATATTAAAGCTTGGTTTTATATCATGAACAGAAAGTTTTAGTTTCTGTTGCTCGTGAAGGGAAAAGAACAAAACTAACCAAGTGGAACTGCTAATAGATTCATTTGTGCATTGCTCACAAGAAATAGTTGCATTAATGCTTCTGTGATGTTATACTCCTGTCCTTCACGAACATGAACAATATAGAGCTACATTATAACTGCCCAAATTATTATGTATGAAATTGATAATACTTCTCCCAGTACAGATGACAATCTTCATTCCATTTGTCTACAAAAAATATTAGTTCACTGCACATGTCGAATTACTAAAATAAGCAATCCAAAAAAGTCTATCAAGGTACCATTTTTAATTTGACACGGATATCTGGCGCTGTAACTCTGCATGGGATGATAAGTTCTTGCCCATCAATCATAAGTATTGTTTCTGGTACATCCTTGTTCATCTTTACAAATGGGCTGTGTGTACCTGCAAATGGAGAAGAAAAGTAAATTAAGTCAAAGGAATAACTGCAAGTGATCAAACACCTTGGAAATCCATAGGATAAGCAGAGCGTGGGGGTGCTGTGTTGAACTTTTAACTTGTTAGTTCCTGGCTTAATCAAAGTCCACAGATTACATGACTCATGCTGAATTTACCTTTATGATTTAAGAAATTAGTTGTCTCGAGGGATTGGAATTTGCTGGAAGGCAAGATAGATCCACCTCCGTCAGATACAGTAAGGCAGGAGGACCTCAGGAGACAATGGATTTGGACTGCCAGAAATGTATTGCATTGTGTTGACTGTTCTGGGGAATGTGCCACTTGACTCATGGCTTTCTTTGGAAGGAAGAAGGGAAACAGAGAAGTTACCACTAAAACACAAGGAGGAGGAGGAGGAGGAGGAGGAGGAGGAGGAGGAGGCGGCGGCGGCGGCGGCGGCGGCAGCAGCAGCTTAGGAAGCAGTTAGACAGTGGTTCTCAACCTGTGGGTCCCCAGATGATTTGGCCTTCAACTCCCAGAAATACTAATAGCTGGTACACTGGCTGGGATTTCTGGGAGTTATAGGCCAAACACCTGGGGTTGAGTACCACTGAATTAGAACTAAAGAAAATAAGAGAATGAAGATGGGGGGATGAAGTGAACTCCTGCCTGGAGTGACAATAGAAGGGAAATACAGAGAGGGAAGATTATTTGTTTAGCAGGAGGCCTTTGGGCACCCAGGTCCTTGAGAGCTAAATTCTAGTGCCATAACCACCACTATCACGCAGCCTGCAAGGAAGCTTCTGAGTGATGGTTGCAAGGGCATTTTAGCCCTTCATTCAAGTTCTTTCATGTATATTGATTTTATTCCCCTTTCTAGTATATAGTACTATTTGAGGTGAGCCACAATTGCCTCTTTTTCACTCCGTTAGTGTGTTCATTAGGCACAATAATTAAGGGAAAGGTTTTCTTCATGCACACCCTCCCCAACTTCATCCTGTCTTGGCTTCCTGTCGCCTATCTTCCTCCCATCCCACAGTCGACTTTTCGCACATTCTCTGCAAATCCCTGATGTCTAATGACTTGTATTTTGAATCAACAAGCATAATGCAACCAACTGAAAATGTCAAATACATTTAAGATTCCAAATTAACTATTTACAAACCTAACTGTCCAAACTCTGAGTACAATCAAGAGTTTCATGCATTGAAGCTTACTGAAGTGTGGCCCATAGTCACATGCTACACTATTGTATAAATTGCATTAGCATGTATCTAAATGTTCAATATTAGTTTATCAAATTAGTGTCCCTGAAGTAGTATTTGAAAGGTAGGATATAGATTTTGCCTTTTCATTAAAACTTGCATTTTTTTCAGGGAGTTCTTCAAGTATTTCCACTACAAGTTCATCTACTCTGAATCAGATATTTAGACATCATTATCTTTTCTCCCATGATATGAAATTATATGTTCTGCATATACTGTCTGTATTATAAAAGAGCCACCTAAGTTAACATACTTTTATTCAGTCAACAGGGTGAAGTTGTCAGGGCAGCAACCTTATCCATTTAAGTCAGTGATTCCCAAGCTTTTTTTGACCAGGGACCACTCTCCAACATTAGTACCAAAAGGGTTACGAATCAGTTTTTGGTCAATTTTAGATTCGATTTGGCTATCTGGGGTTTCTGATTCAGAAAAATGCATTGGTTAGACCACATCAGCACTAGTTTCTGATACAGAACATATGCCATCCAGTAGTCACCATCTGCTCACCCACAGAAAACCATATTTAATAATCTAGATCTGATGTGGTCTATCCAATGCAATATTCTGAATCACCACCCCAAATAATCCCAGGAGCAGGCCTTAAAATGAAGACACCAAGGCACCCCTGCTTGCTGTCATGCCTTTCGTGGGCAGTCAGCCTCTCCCCTCCCGACATCCCCATTGCCTCAGCACTAAAAGAGGGTTTCACAGGACCAGTCACTCTCATTGCAATGGTGTAGTAACTATGAGGCCGTGGATCATATTTTAGTTCTTCGGGACCACTGGTGAACCATGGACCACAGGCTGGGAACAACTGATTTAAGTGATTAAAGTTAATATCTCATTGAATCAATTGTACACTACAATTTCTGGGTTAGATGCATTTTTCTCTGTGAGCAAGGTATGGAAAATATTTTTGTGATGATAATCATGAAGGGAAACACTTTGATGGCTTATTGATCTTGTCACGCATCTCCGGTCTAATGACTGGAGCTCACCCCTTCCCACAGATTCGAACCACCAACCTTCTGTTCAACAAGTTCAGCAATTCAGCGGGCAGCTAATCACCTCTCAACAAAGGATTCCCCCACCCTGGACATTCCACAGATATATAAGCCCAATTTTCCTAGTTTCCAACAGACCTCACAACCTCTGACGATGCCTGCCATAGATGCAGGTGAAAAGACAGGAGGGAATGCTTCTAGAACATGGCCATATAGCCCAAAAAACCTGCAACAACCTAATTTTACTGTATATAGCTATTTTAATTGCCAAGGATTTTTTTAAAGAAGGAAATATATATATATAAGTGTCAAAATAACTTAACAGCATTTCCTTTGCAGTATGATCCAAGGAAAGGCCCAAAGTTCTCCAGAGTGTACTATTGTCAGAGAAACACTTTTGTTTTGTTTTTGCAAGGGTTGCAGTTATAAATGGGGGGTCAGATGCTCTTCGTATCTCCAGTGAAATTTTACTTGTTACCACTCCCTTAAGACTCATCTATCTTTGTCACAAAATTAAAGGCTATTTTCTCAAAGCAGCAAACTTTGCAGAGCAGTTTCCTGTATGCATAACCTGTGGGCCATTATAAGTATGAGGAAGAGCTGCCCTAGAGTGTCTGCAGACAGAGTGTCACCACCGGCCGATGCCAGCAATGTACTAACGGGGGTCATCATGAGCCTTGGAGCCCTTTTAAAGAGAGTGGCAGGAAACGGGTACAATATGTGAAGAACATTCTCACTTGAGCGGATATATTCAGGTCTTCAGTCACACACCAAGGTGACAATCGTAGGCTAGTGTATGGTATTTTGTCTTAACCCAGCAGGGCCAGGAATGGCATGCTGTACATTCAAAAATGATCTTCCTTCCCATTTGTACATTTAAACAAAAACAGCATTTCAGAAAGCTCTGTTTTAGTGTGTCTGCTTTCTTGCTTTTTCCTGTTTTTTCTATTGTTTTTCATTTTCTTTGTGTGTGTTTTTCTTACAAAGGAAGAACCATTCAATTACAGGCCGCTACTCTTCCCCACTTCCCATTTAAATGGGCCACAGTGAATTGGACAATAGACATGTAGAGGGGAAGCAAATAGAAGTAGAAATTTAAACTGTGAGAAAAAGAGTGAAATAGAAGAGAGAATTTTAGCATGTAGGTAGGAACTATAACCCCCAATAACTAATTATTTGACTTCCAAAAGATATATACATTTGAGTGTTATAATTCTCATTAAAATACAACTTCCAAGTGTAGCACTCTTACTGACATCACTGGCAAGTTCTGCTCTGGGCATTGTCCATAAGTACTATATATAAACCAAATTCCCCATAGTAACCTATGAATGTGAGAGTGGGACCATACAGAAGGCTCGGCGAAGGAAGATAGATGCTTTTGAACTGTGGTGTTGGAGGAAAATTCTGAGACTTCCTTGGTCCACAATAAGTACAAACCAGTCCATACTTCAGGAAATAAAGCCCGACTGATGACTGGAGGGAAGGGTATGAAAGGCAAAGATGAAGTACTTTGGCCACATAATGAGAAGATAGGAAAGCTTGGAGAAGATAATGACGCTGGGGAAGATGGAAGGAAAAAGGAAGAGGGGCTGACTAAGGGCAAGATGGATGGATGGTATCTTTGAAGTGAATGGCTTGACCTTGAAGGAGCTGGAAGTGGGGACAGCCGAAAGGGAGCTCTGCTGTGGGCTGGTCCTTGAGGTCACAAAGAATCGGAAGTGACAATGAATAAATGACCAAAACAACCTAAAACTTTTCAAATATTTTCCTGATTTTGGTTGAAAAGAATATATATGACATTCTCACGTATAGTAGTACTTAATGTACTGACACTGTAGGTTTTTCATAACCCTTGGTTTGATTTCACTTCCTCTCCCATCTTAAAGTCCTAATACTTTGAAATAGATGGAGTTCAGTCATGAATACCAGAGAAAATATATCTATATTCAGAAGATGGGTGCCACAGTTAATGGGTGTGCATGCATGTGTGTGTAAGAGAGAGACTACATGTGTACTTTCATAATATTTATCACCCTAACTGTTGTTTACCAGCAGGCATTTCACCCTCTCATATGATAGAATGATTGAAAACAAAATATTTACAGCATCCAAGCTTACAATCTTAGAAAATACAGAATAAAAAGAAAAGGGGATAGGCATGGAAGAGAAAGACAAGCAAACTCTTAGGCCCCTTCTACACTGCCATATAAAATCCAGAGTATCTGCTTTGAACTGGATTATATGGCTGTGTAGGCTCAAATAATCCAGTTCAAAGCAGATAATGTGGATTATCTGATTTGATAATCTGGATTATAGGGCTGTATAGAAAGGGCCTCAATCTCTTGATTCAGATGATGGAGAGAGTCCCACTATCCCATCATTTCCCATGCTAGAGCCAGGTAACATAGCTACTGATGAAAGTTCATGAAAAGAGAAGGAAAATGTTTGTTGGTGTCTCAACAGAGCCAATTGTATAGGCCAAGCATGGGCAAACTTTGGCCCTCCGGGTGTTTTGGATTTCAACTCCCACAATTTCTAACAGGTGGGAGTTGAAGTCGACAAACATCTGGAGGGCTGAAGTTTGCCCATGCCAGGTATAGGCCCTCCAGTCCCACCTCCTTCTCTGCTGTGCACAAGGCTGGTCTGAAATGACTGGTTCTTATGAGTAGTTCCTTTATATGTGGATACAGAATTAGATGGCCAGCTCTGTGCTGAAGTGGATGAGGCTTAGCAG